CAAACCCATATCTAGACAGGTGCCTGGTATGGATTTTAAGGGGGACACCTGACAAAAAAAAATAAGTCCCCCGCTTTTACATCAAAAGCCCTCATTCACGTGGGTGTCAACCCATTTTAGATCAGAAGACCCCCTTCACATCAGAGTCCACCATTTTCACATCAGAAGACCCTCCCTTCACATCAGGAGCCCCCTTCACATCAGGAGCCCCCTTCACATCAGAGTCCACCCTTTTCACATCAGAGTCCACCCTTTTCACATCAGAAGACCCTCCCTTCACATCAGAAGACCCTCCCTTCACATCAGGAGCCCCCTTCACATCAGAGTCTCGAAAATTTGAAGGCACCCCTGACTGTGCCATGGCACCTCGGTTGAGAAAGGTTGCATTAGTAGACTAGGGAGACTCTATGCTGGATGTTTATTATATGTTAAGCTGTCTATACACTAGAAGACCAGGAAGACTCTGTGCTGAATGTTGAATATACTGTAAATTAAACTGTCTATACACTAGTAGATTTCTTTTTTGTTCAGGAAAAAAAAAAAAATCAGATTCTTCCATCCACACTAAACAGCGTGGATAGACAAATCTCCTGCTGTGGCTATTGTATTCGGACAGCAGGCGTCTGCTTCTCTCAGAATACATGATGAACAGTGACTGCAACTGATTTTGTCTCGTCGGCTGTATGGCCAATCTTATACTCTGGCTGGAAGAGTTTACCACTGAAAATCACAAGGGATAGAAGTCAATGGATTGTTCCACATTCCCCTTAACAACCACCCATAGATAAAATATTAAGTTTTGTGTGGAATGATGCTTGAGTAAAAGCCCAAAATTCCTACGTTTTAGTCTCCAGCAGTCATTTCAGTAGGTGTGTACTTATAGAGAACCACTCAGGAACTGATTAAGGATTACGGTAATTATCATACGACTATGAATATTGTTATAAAAGTACAACCCAAATGTTAACTGCAGATAGATATAAAAAATGCCATTTAGTTCAGTTATACAAATTAGATTTAATGATTATTTAAAGAACTTATGTTTGGATCTTGACCCCAGTTGCAGTGGCGTAACCAGAGTAACGGGCGACCGGGGCAGAACAAAATTAGGTATGCCCCCCCCCGTGATATGTGGGGGTGTACAGGTAAAATGAGAGCATGCTGGAAGATATCCTAATTGAACTACAAGTCCTAGCATACCCTCATTGTCCCTCTACACCCCCAAAAATATTACCCAGGGAACTATAAGTTCCAGCATGCCCTCATTGTCCCTGTATGCCCCCAAATATCACCCAGGGAATAGTACCAAGCTGATTGGCAGGCTCCTGTTGGTAATCAACTGGTTATCATGGCAAGCGGGCCATGATATTTTTTACTTTTTAATCACCTTTTAATTTTTTTAATTTAATAATTTTTTTGTTATTTTTTACTTACTTTTTATTTTAATTTATTTTTTATCAATTCTTTTTCACTTAACTTTATCGCTATCACACTGTCACACTATCACTGTGTGATAGCATTTGGAGGTGACAGGTTCTCTCTATTGACCCTGTCAACTCCAAGACAGGAGTTCTGCACTGTGCTGGAACTCCTGTGACAGGTGAGAGGGGAAGACTGCTCTCCCTCTCACTGTTTACATGGAGTGGCAGGGTTACCAGGGATCCCAACCTGGAATCCTAAAAAGAAGGTGCTGTCAAAATAACTAAAATATATGCAATGATGGCACCCCTCACATTTGGCATGCTGAATTTTGTAGTCCTTCAACAGCTGAAGGTTGCCCGTGACTCTTTTTGTGCTTGTGTAGTGCTAATTTTGACAGGTTCAAAGATACAAATCTGGATCAAAACTGCGCTTTGATTTCTGTTTATTGTTTTTCTTGCCTGCTCTTACTTCCCAGCAAATGAATTTTAATGAGTGAACGTAAAAGGAGAAA